CATGTGTTCCTCAGTCTTCCTGCCTGTTAATTGTAATATATTTAACAAAAGGGGTTATTTTTTGCCCAGGTGGTGAGGGAGGTCATGTGCTACTGGTAGACTAGAATGCAAAGGATGTCATGAGTTGCTGCCTTTTACTTTTTAAGAATTATATAGATATATATATGATGGTATAATTTTTAAGTACTTTTTGTGAAGGAATATAGAGCATGTGTGTCTTTGTAATATTTGGAGTAGGAATGGGTGAGTTTTTTTATGTGTGTTAGTTTTGTATTTTGACTTTTTGTTTTAGCTTTATAAGTTCATTAAGTGTCTTTAATCAGTTTTAATTTTTGTGTTTAAGTTAGTGATGGTGACTCAGTAATAATAATAATAATAATAATAATAATAATAATAATAATAACTAGTAATACAAACCTGAGGCAATTTTTTGTTTAGTTTTTCGAAAAAGCTAGTTCATTAGGTTGAAGACTTGATTTGACTATCAATTTTTTCTCAACTTTTTTAGTATATATTAGAAATAGTTAAAGAACAAAATTTGAAAGTGAAGAATTTGAAATGCATAGGAATCTGATTAAAAAACTAAATAAATATAATAATTGAACTAAATAAAAACTAAAATTTACTGATATCAATTTCAGGTATGCACAGATTGGAAGTAAAATGTAAAAAATGTAACGCACATCTCGGTCATCTCTTTGACGATGGTCCACTGCCAACAAAACTTCGTTACTGTGTGAACTCTGCTTCATTGGACTTCAAGAAGTGGACTACTGTATGACCTCTGGTTGACCTTTATGTGACCTTTTGGTGACCTTTTGATGACCTTGATTTTTGACCTTGTTTATCTGTTTGAAGACAGACTACAAGCAACTGAGCATAAATCTTCTCATTGGACTTCAGGAATTGGGGAAAAATGCAGTGGTCTTGTCTGTTTTTTATGTGGCTTTTGCTTGATTAAGATGTTTGAGGGTTTTTGCCCCTGTTGATTGGAAGATGGATCATGTACCAATTTGAATGCCATATTTGTTATTAGTATTTGAAAATTAATTCAGTTTGTTTTATCTAACTGCTTTAAAGAGCGCTGTTAAAACCAGCCCTAGACGAAGTTGTGCCAATGTAAGGTACTTTTATATTTAAATAATGTATGTACTGCTTTTTATTTATTTAATTGTTATGCTTCTATTTTCTGCAGCTTGCTGTTCGATTAATGACTTATGTTGATCTCAGATTCAAGCAGCTGTGGAAATTTTAATCAAATTGTGGTGTCATTAATTAGTTACAAATAACTGGGTCTTTCATATTCATCTCTGAAGTTTTAGTGTTTTCCTGTTCTTGTCTTTACATTGTAGGTATTATTATGTCTTTTTGTTGAGTTTTGGCATTATACTGACAAATGAAAGGTATAGTTCAAACTTTTCTCAGTAAGTTTTGGATATGAATAACTTTGTAGATGAAGGGACTATTGATGACATTTTCAGGAAAATTAACTTTTTACCAACAAAAGGGTTTGACATGCATTTTATGCCTTTAAAAATGAGATAAGAAACAGTATGGAAAACACCAAAAATCTTTTGCACATTGATTGTTTTAACCTAGCTAGTGATGTGAAAAGGCTAGAATTACACCTATTGTACACATGTCTATAGTTAAGCTGACAGACACTAGTTAAAACTTTAGACTGTTAAATTGTGTAAAAACTCACCATTTGTTACTGTTGATATTTATCCTCAGGCTGTTTACAATGGTATTACTGCCCTCAATGTTTACAAGTTCTTTTGAAATAACTCTGTGTATATATTTTATTATGTGTCTAGTATTGCTGTTTAATTCAGTACTGATTTTATAGAGTATTAAGTTTGTGTCAGTATGCCCAGGATTCTTGCCATTGTAATTTTTCATTTTTTTTTTTGACGAAAAGTGATAGATGATAAGAGCTCACAAATATCCCCCCGCCCTCACACACACACACACACACACACACACACAGTAGTGGTAGGATGATGTTAGACTGCAATACCACAGATTTAGATTGATCCATCTGAATCGATCTGACTCCCTGGGGGTTCACGCTAAATTGCTGTCAGCCGAGCGCGCACAGAAGTTTATTACCCCCCTACAGCTTTTAGTAGGCGGGACAGATATTTAAGCTGTTTAAGCTGACAAAAAACTAGTGAGACTCCCCATGGGGATAGATCGATCCAAAATCTGTGGGAATGCAGTTTAACTCTAGTTATTTGGGAAAAAGTCTGCCTTGAATCCAGCAAGCTTTAGTATTCATCATTTAAATTTAATTTGTAGTAACTACAAACAATGGAATTTACTATTGACACAATTTAGTGAGGGATTGTCATATTTGTGTCACTTGACCTAATTATCAGGTGACCATTGAATCTCCGCCTATTGCCAGTTTATAAAACTACAGGGTTAGATATCAGTAGCCAGTAGGGACAGCTTATGGGATATCTGTTACTTTTATTTAAATCTTTGAAATGCGTACTGTTAGTGAGGGGAAGTAAGAGAGTGGTTTTCTATGAAAGGAGAGATGCCAAAATGATACATTTTGAAAGTTCACTTGACCTCAGTTACTAGTGAAGACTGAAAAGATGTCTTTATTAGTCACCAAAGAAATTACATCAGTGTGAAATGAGATTGGTGATAACTAAAAATAAACCAGTGCTGACATTTCTTGAGGGGATGGGAGGGTTCAAAATGGCCATGGTCAGTTTCCACGGAATACACTTTCTCTTTTGAAAGATGCGCACAAGATGATGATATTTTAATTGGAATTTTTGCTCAAAAACAACTGCACAAGTGAAAAATGAGACACTGGTTGTATTGCTTTTTAACAAGGTACAGTCTGTGTGGAGATTTGATAAGTAAGGGTATATTTTTCTCAGTCTTACCAGTACAGTCCTCCAGTTATTTTGTTTTTTGATCCCAGTTTTCGACAGCAAGTTTTTAATGTCACTGGTAAAGTTCTCAGGTTGCTTACAATGTAAAACTCTTTGTATGCCTTCAACAGAAAAAATTACACCAGACAGCAAATTGTTGGTGAATTTCTGGTAGAAATTAACAGAATGCGTGTAATGTGAATTAAGTGAAATTGGCATTGCTATGGCTTTGTATTTGCTGGTTTTGAAGACAACATGATTTGGTATAATTGATCAAAACTGAACAAACAAACAAAAAAAAAAATGCAAAAAAGATCCAATAGCTGAATATGTCACATATTGCACATGCTCTTGTTTAAAATATAGTACATGTTTGAGTGATTTTTTGTAGTTTTAATTGTCATTTATCATAATACACCACACCAGTACACTTGCTGTGCATAGCTTCTTTAAAGTAAGTTTTTGCTCAAATACAGCATGAAAGTTCTGTAATACTTAATTTTACTAATGAAGTTGCATGATTTTAAGACTTTTATAATGCTTTTTGTAATGCTTATTGTTAGTCTTTTGTAAGCTTTATGTGTTTTATTTTAGCAATGATCATAGTATTCAGTTACTAAGCAAGTGAGAAGTCGGAAATAACAAGATTACTCAAATGAACTCGATATATTCAGGATTATGTCATTAACACTTTGCATGCTTCAAATTTTTATTTTCTTTTTTTCACTGTATTTGTCAATTATTTGCTTTGCATGACTTTTTCACTAGTGACAATACCTATACCTTCCATGTTAACTGATTTCACAGTATGCCATCTTTTTACTTTTTTTTTTTCATTTTTACTGTAAAAGTTTATATCTGTATACCTATCCTGTTGAACAGGATAATGTAGTTAAGTATGCTTAGAATTTGTGTGAGTGAAAAATTGTTGCTATTATTAGTCATAATGATGACATTCATGTATTTACAAATCCAGTGGGTAGATTTATTGATATCAGTACAGTGTATGAGATTTTCATTATCTTTACTAAATGGTCATACCAGCAAAAAAAAACAAGATCAAAATATTAAAAGCAATAATGCGCTATGAGTGAATTAAAGTTCAAATTACTGTTAAGAAATTTTAACCTTAAAGAATAACCTTATGGCACATGTGTAACCGTGTGCTAGCATTCAGGAATACGAAGGCAGTGACGAGCTCTGTATTTTATAATGTGATTGAGATAATGTGCAATAATTTAAATCAATGAAAATGTGATAACGTTTTGTTAGTAGTGCACAATTTTCATCATGCTTTTTTTCTACATTAATTGAGCCAAGAAGAGAGACTCTCAGCAGTAATGTTTTTTCAATCCTTCTCTTAAAAAATTGCTTGGTCTCTAGCATTCCTAAATCGTGTTTTCTGTATACACTTGGCATACTTAACAAAAGTGACCATTGTATTCATCATATACTACTAGTAATATCCCTGCTCCAGGTACTAGTACACCAGGGTACATCATATTTATATTCATGAGCTTATTGTTTGTTGATTAACTTAAAGAAACTTGATGACATAGACGTGTAATGATCATAATTGAACAATTAATTGTATTTTAGTGCAGTGTTGTGAGGTGAATAAAAAGGTTGAATTAGTATTCATTCCTTTTAGTTTTACTCCCTGTATATTCTTTGGAAGTTACAGTGTAATAAAGATTTTACCATATGCTCTCTTGGAATGACACTTTCATCTTGTTACACGTGCAAATAAAATGGCGAATTGCAGTTATATCACAATTTCAAAAGGTTTTATTTTGTATCAAGAAACTTAGATGAATAAGAAAATGGCCGAACAAGTGCACTTTTCGCACCACAAGCTGCAGCATTTTTTCTCTCGGCCTCTCCCTCTCCTCCCCCCACCCTCCCCCACGCACACATTCTCTCTCTCTCTCTCTCTCTCTCTCTCGTAGTTTTAACCTACACAGTCATTTCATCTAACATTAGCGGCCCCTTCATTTCCGTAACTGGCAATCGGACTTGGCCGAAAATGCGAAGATAAGGCGGGATTCCCCGACCCAATTTCACAACGAGACTGGGATTCCCCGGAATCCCCTATATCCCGAATGCGCATGTCCCGCCTTCCGCCATTTGTAACGTAACAAAGTGATGAATTTCAGACCTCTCAATTTTACTAATAATATGTAACACAAACAGTAGAAATATCAGAACAGGTTAGGGTCTTTGTGACCAGTTATAGCGTCCACAATGGCTGGGAATTTCTGGCAGAGTTCACATTAGTGAGTACTTGTGTATTTTTAATGTTAAAATTGTCACCAGATTTAGAATTTAGATCGACCCTTTTAACTATTTTAGGCACTCTTACAGTGCTTCACGTTTAGTTTAAATCCTAAGACGGTAGACTGCGTTCGATATGTATTTTCAAGATCTTGACATATGGTGATTCAATATGGAATTATAGTATAGGTATGGACTACATCGGGATATGATATAGACGTTAAAATGTGTTCATTTGAGAAAAAAGTTAATAGAATGGTGCATTACTGTAGATCTACATGTATGTGTCCATTCTAACAAGTAAGGCAAACACATTTCTAATTTGGATGTTACCCCCCCCCTCCCCATGCTCACACAAACGCAGACACCACAATCTACCACCACCCTATAAGTCTTTTTTCTCCTTTTAAAGTTTTTTATTTTCTAAATTGAATTTTGTGGTTTCATTTGTCAATGATATAGGAAATTTGCTGTATTTACTGCTTCCTGCTTTATAAGTAAATCAGTTTGGCAATTTATCTTTCAGTTTTCTGGTGTTTTTACAAGACAATGAAATGATTTGATGAGGGTCATGGTTCTTCTTCTTATTATTATTATTATTTTAGTCAGCAGTGGATCTTGGATAGGCAGGATCTGACCAGGGAGAGACAGATTGACCTGAAGGTGCTGACAGAAGAAGAGTATCAAAAGTTGATGATATTTTATGCCAATTGTAAGAAGATATTTTTCATCATTTTGTTAGTAAAATTGTTGGATGTGAAGAACTGAATATATTTTGGAGACCTGAAGATCATCAGTTTATTGCATTATTGATGACACCAAATCTGTTAATATTGTTTTTGCCATGAAACACTTTTTTTGACAGAAAATGCAGATTTTTTCACTCACCAATTGTGACAGAAAAATAGTGGCTGAAAATATTCAAACTTGTTGGATTTATCTGTAACAATACACACAGATGCTTTGGTGTTGTTAATCTGCATTTCTGTGTATTTATTTTTAAACTATTCACTGATTGATTGATATTTTTCAGTAATCCAGTCTTTAGGAGAACAGCTGAAAGTGAGGCAACAAGTGATCGCCACAGCTACCGTGTATTTTAAAAGATTTTATGCCAGGTACGTATGTTGTCAATACATTCCCCCTTGTGTTTTAAATGCATACAAAATGAATATCGTTTTGTCTTTGTTCAGAAGAAAGAAAGTCAGCAATTTTGGTTTTATCACCCCATCCAAATCCATCTAATTTTGTCCATAAGTCTTTATCTCCAGCTCACATTAATGAAAAATGTAGAACTTAAAGTAGGTTTTCTATAAAATTGTAATTAAAAGCAGAACTGTTCACTCTTCTTCTTACCTAAGTAGCAATGTGGTCATTTTGCTTCAACCTCATGGTGATAAATCATTGCTTAAAATTACTGGCCCAGTTCAAAATCGACATGAGCAAGTAATTCCCGTTTTTTACTTTAATTTGGACATTGTTTAATTATTTATTTCAGAAATTCCCTGCGCTGTATAGACCCACTCCTCATGGCGCCTACCTGTATATTTTTGGCTTCCAAAGTTGAGGTTTGTCTTTGAATTTCAACCAAGATTCGAGGACAATTATAATTGTAATTATTACAATAGTTCCTTCAAATAGTTTCTTTTACTACCAGCTACAATCAGAGTTATTCCCAATTCAATATTCTGCTGTCTCACAAGAGAAGGTCTTCAAAGATATTACTGGTGATATTGTCGCCTGTACTGTAGATGACAGCTTCCTCCCTGATGTATGTGGGATGTGGCTCGAGAAACACAGACATATAGGATTGGATATGTTGCCGTTTTCAACCATTGTTTTGAAGAAACTGTTGTAATATCTAACTGTGTGTATAATAACATTTTAAACTGGAGCTTGGGTTTATTTTCCGTCACAATAATCTGTAAACTATACTCTTTGAGATGTAATATAGATGCTGAGATGTAACATAATCATAATGGGTTGGTAAAACTACAACCATTGCTAAGTTCATAACCAGCTTGTTGTGCTGTGTTTTTATTATAAGAGAAACCAAATTTATAAATCCAACCTGATAATGAAAACATTGTATGATGATTGCTTTCCCTTTGCCATTTTAGGAATTTGGAGTAATTTCAAACAGCAGGCTAATATCCACATTCCAGACAGTTTGTGAGTATCATTTATTTATTTATTTATTTATTTATTTATTTATTTGTAAAAGGTAATATATATTACAGAATTTCAGAGTAACATTTTACTGGGTCTGGTTCAGTTTTTCTGGTATTTGGCATAGTGATAAGGTCCTAGGCTGATGATGGAAATGTTTCAAAAGATTTTTAAACCTGTCCAGATTTTGTCACATATGGAGACAATACAATTAACCATTTGTTATCAATATTTCCTTTAAAAAGATATGAATTTGTATTTCAGTGAAGACCAAGTTCCAACATGCTTTTCAACAGGAGTTCCCATATAGAGTGAACCATGTCCATGAATGTGAATTCTTCCTTCTTGAAATGATGGTAATACTTTGTTTACAGTGCAATAATTTCTGAATAAGTTCAAAGGGAGCCATCATATGAATATATATCTGCTTTGTTACACTAACCTCTTAGTTTTAAATCAGATAATTAAAAAATAATAATTACACTATGTATGGCAATATACTTGATAAATACAAGAAGAAGTATCATGATATAATTTAAAAATTGCTTCCAGTAAGTAATTATTACCTCTGCCAAAAAAGGTTATGCTGTTAGCTTTTCTGTTTGCATTTTTATTAGAAGACAAGCTATAACATTTTCAAAACACTTTGATGAAAATTTCTCCCTTTTAGAAACAAATGATTTCAGTGAGTTCTAACTGAATCCAGGTATCCTAATATTGTATGAAATTATAATTTACATTTTGTCATGGCAGATGTCTGCACTCTTGGAGCACTTTCTAGTTTTGATTGTCGTAATGAAATATTTTGCTCTGTTGTTTCAGGATTGCTCCTTGGTGCTGTACCACCCTTATAGACCTCTAACTCAATACATAGCTGACTTAGGCCAGGAAGAACTACTGCCATTGTCATGGTAACATGAAATTATTGACTAACTTACTGATTGATTGATTAATTTATCCATTTGTTCATTGATTGACCAATATAAATATTACAATCTATTATCCTAGTACTGTATTTTTAACAGTTGGTAATTATTAGCAGGGTGGACAAAAAAATTAATTGTGGACAGTCCCTAACATTCAACGTCTGCCCTTAATAATCCCAGCAATATTTGTTAATTACAGGAGAATTATCAACGACAGTCTAAGAACGGATGTCTGCCTTCTGTATCCCCCCTACCTCATAGCTTTAGGTGAGTTTTTTTTCTTTATATCACCTGAAGCTGGCCTCAATGCTAAGGATTGTTCCCAGGAGCGATTGCCCCCCCCCCCCCCCCTTCCCCCAGTTGTCAAATTTCAGGAGCCACATCAAAACCCCAGGAGCCATTTTTTCTCAAATCCAATAATTTAATACCCCAACTTAAATGGCTTTAGTTCCATTATGTAGAGATCATTTACATTTTGGCATTTATTTAGGTAAGAATAAGTATTTTAACCAATACGCACAGGTTTGGTGTTACTTTGCCAAGGAATAAGAAGTCTGGTAACTAATGTTTTGAAAGCCTTGTTTGTTCTTTTTCCCTTTCATTGGTTTGTGAGGTAACATCCTAACTCTAAATTAAAAAAAGTCATGAACTTATTTCTGTAAAGTTTTCAGGATGGGTCGGAAATGGAATAATTTAGAACTGATAAAATGTTGGTGGAAATCCGTAAATGATATAATTATTAAAAGAAATGAGCTGCCGTGGCAGAGCTCTACACCCTTTGAGTGATTTTTTACTTCATCATGCACTTCTACGTATTAAATTATGTTTTTTTGCTGATATTTCCTCAGCCTGCCTCCACATGGCGTGTGTTATTCAGGGAAAAGATTGTAAGACCTGGTTTGCTGAACTCTCCGTGGATATGGACAAGGTGAAGCTAATTTATATCATTCATTATAATTATTGGGAGGCTTTAGGTTTAGTTCAGTTATTAGGATTGTTTAGAATATTATTATTGATGTAGTTGCAATAGTTAATCATTTAAATATATATTTTTGTTTATTAAATATTCATTTTACTTATGCATTAATTTTATCATTATTATTATAATTATTATTGTAATGTGTTTTCTGAACCACCTTAATTTGTTATTGCCTTTACCAAAGTAATGTTAAAAAAATTAAAAGTAATTAATAGATAAAAATGATAAATAGAGATGAACCATTTTACTTAAAATTTATAATGAAGGCTGCAGGTTTTAACGTTCTGGTTTATATTTCTTGCTAGATCCTGGAGATCACACGTCACATCCTGGCGTTGTATGATCTGTGTAAGAGTTTTGACGAGAAAAAAGAGATCAGCACATTGCTGAACAGAATGCCCAAACCAAAGACCAGTCCTTCTCGACCCCCGTCTCAGGGTCCCAATGGCGACGGGCAGGAAAGCCAGTCACGACAATGAGGAGTCATTTGAAGGAATAAAGTGTGCGCTAGCGCTTTATATTGGGGGACAGTCTTGGAGATGTCTGCTTTCTTTGTCGTCACCATGGTATAGCATGTCTTTCTGTTGGCAAATTTCATGTTTATAAGTCCGTTTTTGAGTTCATAATTGCCGATATTGTTTACTGTCACATGTGAAATTTGCCTGTCTCCATCTGCATTACAAGAGTGACTCGGAAATTAGAAATTGAGAACTCGGAGACTGATTTATAAATTGTGATTTCATTAACGGTTTTGGAGATGGTATACCTAGGCGCCATCCAAGAAGGACGAAATTACCAGGAAAATTGAAGTCTAACGCCAGTATCAGCAGAAAAGTTGACATTTTGATAACATGGGTGAGGCTTTATGAACACATTATTGGGAAAGACGGACCAATAACTGTCAATACAAGTACGGTCAGCACAAGGTAAAATAAAGATCTGTATTTACGCAGCAGAGAAAATGGAAGAAAGTGAAAAGTCGAGAAAGCAAACGGTCCAGTATAGGAAAAAAAGGCATTTGAGGGCTTGTATGTAGAAATGATGCATTTGCAAAGCTAAAAAGAGAAAAAGAAAGAATGAAATGAAATAATGATCATAAATTAGTTAATTTAGTACTGGACATCCATGATAATAATGACCAAAACTGTTAGTTAGCCTGTAGATGGATGACCAAGAGGGTTATCTCGGGATCCCCGGTAAATCTTGAAAAAAATATGTAATGAAGCAAAGTAAGTTGAAATAAAGCAGGTTTGTTTTTATATCTGCTTTTTCTCTTTTTCATGCACGTTTTATATTAATATGAAATTCCACTTTATAAAAATCATTTAATTTTAGACATTCTGGCTAAAGAAAAAAAAGCTAAATTCTATGTAGACGAGCATTTATAATATGCGCCAAAGTTATGGAGTGATATACCTTCTGAAGAATCGCGAATGACTTCGAATTTTTAGTGAAACTTTAAAATAGGCCAACCTGAAGTTTAAAATCAGTTCATAGCGGTTGATAAAAGAAAGTCGTGTTTTTTAGATTTTCTATTTTTTAAGAATTTCTGATCATTGTTAGTTACTGTTATACGCAAATCTAAGAATTATAAAAGTGTAAGTGCTGAAGACTTCAGCGATAATATCAATATTGTTAAACATCGGTGGAAGTTATCTTTTTTTTTTTTTAGAATGGACCTTTACAACCTAGCATTGAATTTAATCGCACATTGATAAAGGAATTTTGCAACCAAAAAGTCCTGACTAAAAACATCTCAAATCAAAAAGAAAAAAATGTTCAACTTTTTTACGAGTCGTCACATACACACGAATGCCGTTAAAATCCAACATACCAACAGTTTTTTCGCTTTGTAAACGTTTTTGTTTCTACTTAAACTTTCTTAAAATGCCATTAATTGATGCTTTATATGTGGTTTAAAGAGCCAAAAACTTTAACCCGAAACTCTTCTCAATCCGAAAGAATTTATTAATTGCACGCTTCAACATAAGTCAGAGACGTGATGGCGTCTTTAAGAATGCGCCATGTCGTCTAATGTCATTCCTTGCATTATATTGGTTGTCGCTTTCTCTTTCATTGCCTTTAACCGGTCTCATTTGATGTTAACCTCTATCAGCATTTATCTCAATGACATTTAACTCTTCTTAATAAAGTTATTACAATCAATTTTAATGCTCACCACAATACATTATATTACCTATCATAAGTCTGTGATGTCTTTGGCGCACAAAGCGCCATGTATATACAATATGTACAAATATGGCCCATTTTAATTATTTTTTAAACCATAAGCATTTGCGCTGCAAAGCGATAATAAAATATTTTGATTTACAGATTCGTATATATATAAATAAATGTTTGTTGTCCTCCTTTGGCTCTTCGAAGTTAGCTACGTTAAAGATGTTATAGAGTATTTTGAAACTCACTGCCATTTCGAGCCCAAAAATTAAAAAAAAATAAAGCTGGAAATTATAACATTTAAACACATTGCGGATACTGTAGGTAAAGACAGAAAAACATCCTTCTTAAAATCACTTCAAAAATCCATGCTGCAGACAATTTTAGCAAAACTAATGCATATAGATATGCATATTTTTCTTTTTTTTTTGCTGTGTAACAGCAAATCCAAACTGCAGACAATTTTAGCAAAAGTAATATTTGATATGCATATTTTTTTTGCTGTGTAACATTACTTTTCTTGGCAAAATTACTCATTCCAAGTGTAAAACTTTTCCACATCTAAATATAAAAAATACCAAATTCTCTCAAATTTCAAGATCACTGTAAACTACTTATCTAAGTAGGTGAACAACATTTCTATTAAATGGCAAAATCTTATAGTCAAAATTACCTATTTTGGTTTGAATCACGAAAATACTGATGACACCATTCCAGAGATTCCATGGTTTAGATTTTAGACCAACCCAAAGACAAATACTTCTAAAGATCTCGAAACAATTTTGTTGCCCTTGCCCATACGAAGTCCGATAATAAAACACGTCAATAGTCAAAGAACATCCAATCCATTCCTAATTTCAGTGTCCTTATGTATGTCCTTGTGCACAATATTTGACGAAAGAAAAAAATCCGAAGACAAATGACGACAGAAAAAAGTTTTAGACACGCAGTACACGCACTCTACACGTGCAAGTTCTCGCAGATGTAGGAGTTGGCGGTGGAACACACCCCGTCGTTGATTCCTGCAATGCGTCCTCTCCAGAACCTCAGCTCCACGCAGTTCTCGTTGTTGTTATGGTTGTTGGGCTCTCCTGGCAACCACTGGCAGTAACTGAAGTCAAATCCTGTAAAAAATGAAATAATATATTAAAAAATAATTTTAAAAAACATGTATTTATTCGAAGCTTTAAGATCTAAATAGAAACTGTGAGGCTTTGTCGGATACTTTTGTCAAAAACGAGTATATGCACTTTTGCTTTATCTTATAACTTTCGCATCAATTAATCTTATGACTTTAAAAGATGTAATTAATCAATCATTCAATATACAGATAATTAAAATCAATGTGTTTTTCTTTTAGTTTATATCCAAGCTCAACAAGTTTTCCCATAAGAAAGAGAGACAGAGACCAAGAGAGAGAGAGAGAGAGAGAGAGAGAGAAATGCAATGTATCACCTACCGGTTCCCCAGTAAAATTGTCTGGATACTTCTATCGGATTATCAAGTGATTTGGAAATCTCCTCAGCGTTTTCCATTCTGCGCCCTGACGTCCAGAATTTGCTGAAACCTCCTTGAATTAAATAAAGATAAATAAACAAATAAATTAAAAATAATCAGAATTCACCGTTTCAGCTCGATTCCATGATTGCTTTTGATATGACTACGTCGAAGATCTAATCCCCCTCGGAGAAAATTCCACTGTCACAATTTGTTATTATTATTAAATATTCAGCATTTATTATCCGTAGCAAATATTCGTTACTCAAATAATGTCCAAATAAATTACCCACTGCATAATAATATCTCATGGAGTTGTTTCTTATCTTTTTATTCCTTTTTACATATTAATTGTGTTTGCATATCTTCCTATGTCTACATGTAATGGTAAAAATCCCTATCCGAAATTGACTTAACATTAACTAATACACCCTTTAAAGTGTACGGCGTCCTTTCTGCTTCCTTTGTGAGACCATGAAACTGGCATCACTGTGGTCGTTGAAAGGTAGCACAAGCACCGCTTTGGTTGCAAAATGAATGCTCAATGATCGGCCAGTTGTCGGCACGTGAAGTATGTTTTTTACTCACAAAAAGGGCCGCACTACATGATGCAGAAAGGACGCCGTCCAGCGTAAAGGGGGCTTTAATACACAGCCATACGTACCGCCGTTAAGATCCAAGTACTGTGTGACAAGGGCCAGTTCTCGTGCGCTCTCTATACTGATCAGGTCGGCACCGCCGTTAGCGAAGCAGTCTGCGCGTGCGTCAGCCCAAGACTTGGCCTGGCTTACGAAGCGGTAACAGTAGTCTCCCAACTTCACGAAACCATCGGGACAGCCTGGAAGTGACAGGTCACAAGAATAATGAACGGTTTATACGGTTTGTTTCTGCTGTACTATAGTAAAAAGAAATGATGATATGAAGTATTTATGCTTGTAGACGTGAGAATAATAATAGAATAATAATTGAAAACTCAATCAAAATATGGAATTCAATTGATATATGACATATTAATAAAAAAGTAATGAAAATAAGAAATAAAGAATAACTACTTATGAATGGTTGTAAAAGTATGCCGGAATTGCCAAATGATTTTTGTGTTTTACATATATTTTGTACTTATGCATTTTATTCTTTATATTAACAAATCCCATTCAACAAATTACTGATGCAATTACCGATATTACTCGAGGTCTCGCGATTTAGCGAAAAATCTAACAATATTTCTCGAGATTTAGAGAAGAGAGAAGTCAGAAATAATGGCAGACTAGTAAGTTCGGTATGGTACTGAACTAAAGCTGGCATACTTTTCCCCGAATATTTTTTCGGTTATTTTACAGTCATACATAGAAAAGCCATTATTTAGATATAATTAAATAGTTCTGTGTGTTACTTTTTGTTTGTAAAGGCGAAATCTCCGATTATATTAAAGATTCACCTTTGCTGCTGAAAGGTTTGTTCCATCTCTCGGGGATTCTCGCACGTATTTTATGACGTAGTATCAACAGCCNCCTAATTTCTGCATTAAGATATCTTGACCCAATAAGGTGTTGGAATTCATATGTTACGTGTCACTTAAGATCACAGAACGGTATGAGAGGTATGAAGGGGTGAACAAAGATTTTAATGTTTTAAAGTCTGCCTAATACGCATTAAAATATTACAGACATTTTTGACGTGTTTCATAGACAAATGTGCGCTCAAGGAATGTCTACTTGCCCCCCCCCCCCCCCAACAAACACACCAATCCCCTTGCTCGCCAAAAAAGCTGTAATTAATTTGAGTGAATGTTGAATACTGACGTATGCTCTCAGAGAAAAAATCTGATTCTTACTATATGCACTTTGTCTTAGTTTTAGTTGATATTTATCTATTCACCACATCGTGGGCGCATTTGGCTACAATATTTTCTCTCCAAGCCACATTCTACATTGAACTTTTCTTATTGGGGACCAAACCATTCACAGGTGCGGAGTAAGACAAGCCTTTTCACCAGTCTGTTTTGGAGCTCACGTCCATTTTGTGTTTTAGTCATGTAAAACATTCGTTTCTGCTGCTTATTTTTCCATTAGGTTTGCAGTTAACGTCAGAAAGTAACGTAAATTAGAATGACCGACGAACAGAAAGACTTTCATGACGTCACTAGAAGCACCTGACTTATTTTAAAACCCCATTTTCTGAATTTGAAATGCACCGTAAGAATTTTGCAGAAGTTTCCACTTACTGGTTTTTAAGGACCCGATAAAACCCGATAAAAGAAGGTCGGGTACATTTTGATCAGTTACACACCTTGAAGTCGTACAATGATCCAAGAAAAAATAAATAAATAAGTAAAATAAAAAAAAAAACGTGAAAAGACCGAATGTTGAAGGTGAAATATCCTGTATTAATTTGAAACTTAAATCATCATGTTTCAAATAACCTCTCAGTAAAATTTGAACATACCGTCACAGCAACATGAAGCTATTGCTTTAGCAGAAGAAAACATCATCACCACTCCTAACACCAGCCATGTTAACGCCTTTAACTCCCTCATTTTCTTTCCTTTTCTGCTCTCCCGTGGAATTAAGTCCACAGACGAGGACTTTCGGTGACTTGCTGAGGTTTTGATCAGTTCAACAGACATTTTTATACTGATACATGTATTGTAATGTCTAAACACGTACATCAAAAAGAAATAAAACGCCCCTTAAGAGTTATTTTCTGTTTAATTACATTATGTATCATGTGTCATCAAATGTTTCTCAAAATCTAAGCACGAAGTACAAAACCACGGGAACGTCGTTTACAAGTTTTGTCTAACCATTTCTAGCATAAATAAGATGTTTGTATTCACACTGCGATGACTCATGAACTCCGTACGGTTGGGGGGAAATCGTCCGATTTATTCGATGGGAGTTGCAAGATAACGCGGAATTACCACAAAGGAGGCAAAAATATCCATTTATAGTATGTTTTCACATAAAATTGAAGAATGGAGTCATGGAGCAAAAAGGGAGATGTTCCATACCCATGTACTACGCCGCATTTAAACAGAAATGTTAACTGTTAAATATGGGAGACTGAACCTTAAACTATTCATATTTGTGAATCAACGCATGAACAACCAGCTACTGTATATGCAGAGTGTAATTAAATTTGTTCGAGTTACGCAAAGATTAACCGAAGACGGAAAAATCCAGAGGGGTAAAATATTATACGAGTCATAAAGTGATAATTTATGTGGTCTGGGTACTTCTGTCGCACAAGCTGTTTTTTTTTTTTTTTTGATCACATGGTGTGAAGATGTTACGCAACACGAACCGTAACATCATCAATTGTCCGTCAAGAACACCAACTCGAGAAAGGCAATAAACCGAAATAGGCGAACACCGTCATTGCGTACGTTTTGTTTTTTTCTGATTTGAGAGTCCTTTACAGGATGAAAGTACATTACCAAACTGCTAAGCCATTTCAGTTCTTTTCAGCAATCTGCGCACTTTACTTATTCAGACTTTCACAAGGAAGTGGCTAAATAAGTTAACTTTGAATAAGTATCACAGGACGATTTTCTATTTATCTGTACATTAGAAGAGCATGGATACTGATTTTACAAGAAGTGAAAGTTCGTTCAGTTATTTAGGCGTGGTGTTCTTTTTGCATACCGCGTATGGCCATTTATGCAATTTACTGTTCAGCAATATTTCCTCTCCTTAACAATTTTTTCCCTATCGATTAAAATTCTATGAATCAGATCAGCTGAAGAGTGTTCAAGTCGCATAATGATCCCAAAGAAAAACACAATTACAGTGAAAAGACCGTAGGTTGAAAGTGTAATGATCCTAAGTTAATTTAAAACTTAGATCATAAGTTGAAAGTTAAATTGAACATACCCTCACAGCAACATGAATCTGCTGCTTTAACAGAGGAAAACATCATCACCACTCCTACCACCAGCCATGTTAACGCCTTCAATTCCCTCATTTTCTTTTCTTCTGATGCTTTCCCGTGGAATTAAATCCACAGACGAAGACTTAAGGTGATTTGCTGAAGTTTTGGCACGCCGCTTCTCTCCAAGCCCAACCTATGTCTCTCTCCGCCGAAAAACTAACCCCGAACCCGCCAAGCGCCGACTGCGAAGTGAGATGTCCCGCCTCTACTGAATCTGACTGTAATATAAATGGTCGTTTTTGAGAAATTATAGGAGATGGGTTACCCAAGACAACCTTTATTCCACCACAGGCACTCTAGGTGTGTTCAAGCTGTACTCAGGTAGACCGATTCCAATTCGATCCAAATGATGCCAGAAGTCAAGTAAGTAAAAAAAATTATTGCAACTATGTTCTTGGCCTCTTTTATTTATTCCCCGATTTTAGCCTTGAGTAAAATAAGGACATTTAGGGAACTGCTCTGATTACAATGAAGATCGTGAGCGTTAGTTAAATCATATTAGATACAGTCTCTTAAAAACTTCTGTGCACTGTACTGCAATTATCTTGGTTGGTTTTTTGTTTTAAGAACATTTCCGAACCATTTCCCTTGAAGAACGTACCGCGGTCTAACCTTGACATGGGTATAAATTCATTTATAACAGCGATATCATCTGATCTTTTGGTTTACGAGACGGTGCAAACAAATATACAAAGTTCTCCTAGTATACTAGTATAAATTTCCTTCAACAATTTCCCCAAATTTCCCCCTTGGAAGATATAACCCCGATATGTGAGGATGCAGACGACTTAATAGGCAATTAGGAATAAATGTTTTTCTCTTAGACGTGAGTAGAATTAACGCTCTTCCACATACAGGGAAGAGGTAAAAAAAGAAGATAATAATTGTTTTTTGGCATTCCACGGCCACGAATATAGCGTATTTTCAGAGTCACATGTAGTTATTCAATAATTATCATATTACAATATGTCATAAAAAAGACATTTCAATGAAACTACACGGTCTAATTGTTTTATGGAAGATTTGCAATGGTGTAAGTAGTTAAAGATTTATGATGCAAGCCCTGTTACGTATAGCGGCAGGCATACGGTGTACCTACAGCCTATACAGTTAGACAGGCAGAACAGGGGAGGGAAAGTGGGTGGGGGATGAGAGCGAGGCTACCTCGTTTTCAAACTAAAATTGTGCATTTCATCCCCGCCCGTTCTCAAGAGACGCACTTCGACTGCCACGAAAGCATCTGTCTCGTGTCCATTACCTCTAATATGAATGGGCCTCATGATTTTTAAATATTTTTTTTCAGTCGGGATGGAAGAAATTGGACCAATCTAGTCGTGGTACCTAGGGAATAGCGGGTTCAAGAAGAGGACAGAGCTTACACGTGACTCTGCCTTACCTTCGGACGTTCACCCGCTTGGTACACACTCCTCACTTTCCAAAATGTATATACGAGCGAAACAAGACACAATCACATAGTTCTGCCTTCTCTCTCTCTCTCTTTCTCTCTCTCTCTCTCTCTCTCTCTCTATATATATATATATGTATATATATATGTATATATATATGTATATATATATATGCTTTAATAGTCTGTGTTCTCGACATTCAACACTGTCTCTTAATGTTAGCTTCAGCACATATCAAGACACATTTCTTCAGTCGTCAAGGTTGTCTGTCTATATAAGCGGTATGTAGAAGTTTACCGATGGGTGACAGCATTGGGTCAGGGTTTATCCCCTAACAGGACCCCCCCCCCCAAAAAAAAAAAAAAAAAAAAAAAAAAAAAACGCAAGAAACGTCATTTTAGCGATTCACAATTAATTTAATTATTCATTACTGATTTTTACTATTGATTTAATTATTCATTAATTTAAAAGTCCATCTACGTGCGGGTATTCCTCAGCATTCTCATTTTTTCCTTCTTCGCTTAAAGTATTTAAATTCGACGTCACCTGACTCACAGAGACACAAGCAATTGGAATGCTAAATTTTTTCTATTGCGGCATTTTCCCTTGAGGGTTGAAGGTGAGATTGGACCATGCACCAATTCCCTGGGTTTCAGTCCTTGAAAACATCTTTATCATTAATTTTGTAAATACCCATTGAACACTCCTGTTTTCAAGAAAATTTATGAAAGATTTTTCGTTTCTGTGTTTGCATTGATTCCTTCATTATATGGCGTGGACAGGGGCGGATTCAGAGTTATTTCCTGACAGTCTTCCAAATTATCTTTGTTGATCCGTTCTTCATTTTTGACCGTCTTCCGACAGAAAAAATTAGATACCCGCCAATGTAAACTTGAAAATCTGACCGTCTTCCGGAAGACCCAGAAGACGCCCTAAATCCGCCCCTGAGTGGTGTCTTAAGCAGTCCCAGTTCTTTTTTCTTGACACGTCCATTAGAGATGGGCATTACAGTTTCTTGTCGGTAATGGCCGCTATCATTTTAAACAGAATTTTAGTGGCGACAAATTAAAACACTGGTGTGATTTTGGGAACAAAAACCACAGAGGTATGTCCACATCTTTAAGAATCCCCCCACCACACACACACACATGCTCAAAAATAAATAAATAAATAAATAAATAAAATAATAATAATAATAATACAATAATATAAATTACTTTCCAAAACATTTTAACGATTTTCAAAATTAAAAAAAAAATTCTGTAGAATTGAATATGTGCTTCAAAAGTATCCGTCAAGGAGAGCGGACCACTCTTGAGACCTTATTTATTTATTTATTTATAGTTAGTTAGTTAGTTAGTTAGTTAGTTAGAAGCAGTGTGCAGTTCTGGAACTGAACTCATATAAAAACCCTATAAAGTTTTTGAAAGAAAAAGCGATTTTAAAAATACTGAAATGTAAATCACATGGAAATGAATGATTAAATGCATTCCTGGTACATGTATATTCACTTTAGTTGGTAACAGGGGTATTAATTCCATTCTATCGGTTACGCAAAATGACCCAGAAAGTCTGTAAACATAGGATATGTATCCAGCATAAATGTTAAACAGCACAAATCGAGAGGGACGTCTCTTGAACACGTAATGGTGGTCACTGTGACTCCAAATGCACGTTTAAGAGGCAATATATTAGCATCTTTTCGTTGGTACAGACGCCTTTTTTATGAAACGAACGCATTTCAGACCGACTTATTTCAATTTAATGTGTGCAGAGACTCGTGAAATTATTTTATCTGTTCGGAGAGATTCCGGTGTGCTCCTTAGTCTCCTTGGCAACCAGGTTTAGTTTTTATTAAATCACCTTTAACACGAAGCATTGACTGGTTGACGCACTTAGTAAGCAAATGGACCCCGGTTCACGAAATAGGTCTTTGGTATTTTTTGTGTTTGTTTGTTTGTTATTTGCAAAAAAAAAAAAAAAAAAAAAAAAAAAAAAAAAAAAAAGAATTAAGGATGTCTTTGTGCTCGGGTGTTTCTTTATTATCGGCTGGTGATATGGGACATAGTTGTAGTGATTTTGGTTTAAAATGTACCTGTACATTGGTTATTCAGGGGCGGATCCAGGATTATCTGAGGGGGGCGCGGATGCAGGCAGACCCTGCCCTTGCCGCGAAAAATGTTGATATTTTAGAGGGAGAATGGTGCCATTTTCAGTTTTTACCCCCAAATAGCAAAAATGACGTCATCCGTAAGATGATATGTGTAAATGTTAATTGATTTAGTCACTGAACACTGGAGATTTATCTATTACCCAAAAGAATGTTTGTAAGGCAATAAATAAGAAGTTTTGGGCCAAAGGTGGCAATATCTTATCAATATATATATAAGCTATTAAGTCTATTATATCATATTATATCATAGTTCGCAAGTCTCTGCTCTATGAGCATTTTTATGTGTTAGAAGGCTTGCTTGCTTTCGCGCTATTTCCTATTATGTACTAATTCATTTATTTATTTAGGTTTTGTTCCTTCTTCCCTCTTTTAGGAAGACGATGGTGTAAAGAATACCTCAGACACTTTGGGAAGTTAACACGTCCGCTGTGTCCCTGTAACAAAACTGAGGGTCCGTGTAACAGAAAGTCCGCCCTCCATATAGTTATAATGGTTAGGGTTAGCCTGACCTAAGTGGGTCAAAATCTAGGGCGAGGCTTTCCTGGACAAATGAATGAAAAGCGGACTCTCTATCATGAACAGGCCCGTAGCCAGCAATTTCAAAGGGGGGTTCTTTTTCTGAAAAAGTGGACCATGTACCTAGGTCAAATTTTACCCAGAATGGACCTTTTTCAAGCAAAAAGGGGGGTTCTTTCGAACCCCCCGAACCCCCCCTGGCTACGGGCCTGATGAAGGACTCTCTGGCATGTTACACCCCACCCCATCTGAATTCGTCATTGACTATACCACATGTACATATATATACGGTATATATATATATATATATATATATATATATATATATATATATATATATATATATATATATATATATATTAGATATATTAGGAGTATTGGTTTTAATTAAAATTGCCGTGGGCACTGTATAGAAAATGTCAAAAGATGCAGGGTAAAGTAGGGTTTTCGGTCCACTTGGACCCATTTTACGTGTGTGTTATGTAGAGTTAACTGTGATATAAACAACTGAAACATATATTTTTAATCTGCAAGAACAACCCTACCAAGATGTGCATATACTGCGTGTACATGTATATTGTATTTGCTAGGTAACAGTTAATTCTTTACAATTTAAAAGATATTCATTTAAAAATGAGCTTGTATCGTAGTAAATAAATAAATAAATAAATAAATAAATAAATAAATAAATAAATAAATAAATAAAAATAACTGTTGCGGTGTCTTATTAACGTCAAGTGTGATAATAAACGGGCGAGAAAAACGAATGAAAACTTTTAAAAAGTCCTTGTTTAGAGATGGTAAAAACACTTTTAGTTTTTTTCAGAAGTAAATATTCACAGTTCACATACTTCATAAAATGAAGAATGGATTAATGAAGGTTTCCCTTTTATTTTCGAAAAAAATTAATCTTTATTTCTGTCAATAATGACGTCGTTGCCATAACACAGACATGCTCATGTCCAAGTAGATTACCACGATAATTTCAACAATCACTGTTTATTGAAAACACATATGCATTTCAAAGACAAACATTCTCAAACATGTATCTTTCACAATGTAGTTGTATAACTAGAGGAATTAACTTACTACAGTTGTAAAGAGTTTTGTAAATACAGAAATACCAGCAATATATCACAACTCAATTATATACCTTTGATTAAATGTCGTTCTTACAAACGCTGATGACGTCATTTAAGGCGTTGATTGCTTTGGTTGCGTCATTTTAGAAGTCTTTCTCCATTATGACGTCATAAATGGGATGAATTCTATTTATAATGGCCTCTGTCTCCATTTCATGTATATATATATATTTTTTACTTTGGACGGAAAATCATTGATATACTGTAAACATTTTTCATACTAACAAAATTATTTACTTCAAGAACACTTCAAAAAACTTTTTTTGCTTTTAATGGCACGTTATTGAAATTGGACGGATTAATTTGGACATATTATTCGTAGTTCCAAGTGCAAAAAAAAAAAAGCTTATTTTATCTGATACTCTCTCTCTCTGGCCTGATTTACTTGTCTGTTCCACTTGTCCTACTCGGCATGCGCACGCACCTTCTTATACGCATGTCAATTACATATATATATTACTCAATATGGTACACTCTGTTCCGTATACTTACGTTTTTCATAGGTATTTAAGATGCATATTCATACAAATATTTTTTAACATTCCCAACATTTAAATATACAAATTAATAACCACGCAGTCTATATTATTATCTTAATCAAGGTCATTATGTGATGATTTAAAGATACAAGTTAGTACACTTTGACTTTTGAGAAATAAAGGAGCTGATTCATAAAATCAAAACTAATGTAACAATACTAATAAAATGAATATTTAAACTTATTAATACTTTTGAAAACAAAGACTTTGTTACATATGGAATTTATAAACATTATACTGTATGTTGAATGCTTTAGATTCTACCAGCAGCGCAATTTCAGAAAATGACGTCATTATCTACGTCGTGTCTTCCGGTATGACGTAACCGTCGATGGTGAGGACGTGGATGATGCCATCTCTCTTTCCCATACCTTGCATACTTTTAATACGGGCTTTGTGACTGCCGATGCAGAAATCCATCTCAGCGCCGGTATCCGAAAAGTTGCACTGAAATTCAGTCAAGGAACATTTGAAGCCGTTCGTCAGGCATATAATTTAGTCACTTTGATCAGTTATAATAATAATAATAATAACAATTGATCGTGAAAGAAAACAATACCTATCCCGAAAATATGCCAATATTTAAGGTTTTTGTCGTTGCATATATGCAGAAAACTTTTGAGACCCCGTCTCTTTTTGCACTTTTTCCACCATTGATCGTCATGAATGTTTAATTCAACCCCAAATATCACCAATGACGATGGTAAAGGTAATTTCCAAGGACATATTTAGGAAAATTAATCATTATAATTCTTCTATAGTCTAACGCGCATTGTGAACATTCAATTAATCAATCTTACCATGGTCTCTGCCTTGGTGTCGTTTACCCAGCATTCCATTGTGTCCTTTCCTAAAAAAGATGAAGTGTGTAGTTGAATAGCATTAATCTTAAAATCTGATGCATTTTATACACATTGCAAGTGTCATCTGGGGATAATAATGTCCCTTAATTGAGTACCGGATACAGGGTTTTACTGAAATAGAGATGGTAACCTGCTGCCGGTATATAACGATAATATGGACATTTATACACATTCAATTAATGTATGAGTACAGATTCGATTTGGCTATAGTGCATTACCGTACAGAAGCTTGAAAATTTTAAAATCAGACTATATAAACTTTTTTCTTGATACTCCAGTCAGGGGGTTTTAGTGTCTGAGATGACGAAATACGTACTGAATATAACCTGGATAAACTCGTCATCCAAGGACCAGTTCCACATCTTCACGTTATTGGCGGCCACATATCCTCCGCTGGCCTCGGCTCCCGAGCTATGCTGGGCAGATCGCCTGAAAAGATATTAGTTATGATCCAGATGTACATCCATTAAGATTGGAAGGTATACAATAAGAGCTACCAGAAATTACTGTGAACCAGAAACGTTGTAAGTTGAAATTTTGTGTCCAAAATTGGTGGGAAGATTGCCAGGAACAGACGTCTATTATGCACATCCATTCAGATTGCAATATATATATTATAACATTCCCTAAAAAGGCTGTAAAGCATACAGATTACAACTTGAAATTATCTTGCCCAAATTGATGGGCGGATCGCCTGATAAGAAACAGAAAATGCATCTATGCATATAGCAATATTTAAAGTAGCAAATCGCTGAAATTGTAAACTCAAAGAGGTGAATAGTTATACTTAAATGGGCCATAAGAAATACATATATATTTACACTATACTCGGTAGTATCACACAGATAAAAAAAAAAAAAACAAAATCAACAAATAAAAACTTTGAAAGTGGTTCTTAGTGTTAGAAACATCATGACATGGGCTTTTTTCTCCAAAAAAGATAATACAACGATTTGAAACGAAGTATACAATGCAGGAACAAGACCAATCATAGCTAGTTTATAGGCAACATAGATTTTCTATTGCTGTTGGTCGATTTTGCACTTCCTCCCTTTCATCAATCCAAACACCATTCTTTACAAAATCAGTAGATAACAGATTGTCGCAGCTTTGTATCGGAGGCAGCGCGAAAAGAATAGCTTGGTTAATTCTAGTTGCATGCAAAGGCCATTTCAAAAAGGGCTGACGTCGTAAACATAAGGGCACAATGTATCAGTAACGTAACACAACGTTTTGTAACTTCATACATATAGTGTCATGCAGGCAGTGGTAGAGTCATTGCCAGTCAGCTATAGCTAGATAAATGAACGAACAAATGAATATATTAATGCAAAAATCAATTGCTTAACAAGTGAATATAAATGAATTTACAATCACCGCAAATCAAAACAGTCAATGTTCAAGGGGTGATTTGGTCAAGAGGGGCATTTCAGGTAAAATGATAAATAATATCAGAAGTGACCAGTCATGCGACAAATATATACTGAATGACATCAGTGATAATGATACCGCATATAGTAGGCGGTCACGGAAACTGCACGTAGGTGATTTTCGTGACTCTAAAACACCCCAACGCAATATAGAATGATGAAATAATTACCAAACGTTTTAACCGATTCTGCTCCCAGATCTACTGTATTTGGCTTCTTGACATGTTATTTAATTCGATCATTGATTTATTTTTGTAATTGTCTATATTTTTTATCTGACTCTGACTTCTAATCTCCCCTCACCACTTCATAACGGTCCAACATCACAGAATTACTGGGCTTCAGCTTCGATTGTACTATAAATCCATCATTTTGAACTCGACACATCCATCCTTGCTTTATCATGTGTAATTAGTCATCCATACCTGCCTCCGTACACTTATACTGCTCATATATCAACAGTATGACTTTCAAAATACTCCACTCAGGAATAACCATTAGGATTCATCTCACTGACACTGTATAGCGAACCCTGGCGGCCTTTTTGAATGTAACATGTAGTGATCGCTTCCTGGTTTCAGTATAGGTTTGCACGATAGTAAATATGGGCTTAAGGGGAGTTTTTCTTTTTTTTGTCTAATCAATAAACAGTGACTTTCGTATTTGATTAAAGTAACGAGTGTTGCGTCAGTGTCTAGGTACATGTAAGATGATAGTATGTATGCTATGGTTTTGATATTTTTTTCAAGAGAGAGGTGATAGTTGTCAATCATTCGATGAGATTTTATAACACACACTATTCAGTTTTGTTCTCTCATTAGTAAGTTGAATAATTTAGGTTCACTCCCTCTTTCACTCAAATATTTTTTATCTTTCTATGTATACGTATTTATTTATTTATTTATTTATTTATTTATTTATTTATTTATTTATTGTTCCTTCTCTAAGAACGGTTTTAACAAAAAAAATATTAACGTATATTTTCATTCATTTTATTAATGTTATTAAATTAATGAAAATAAATAAAATTATGTATAAAAAATTAAAAAGATAATTGATAAATCAATTGTTTACTCTGTTATTTTTGTATGTACATGTATATATTAGTAATCCATAGTTTATATCTAAATAAACATGACCGCAGGGTAATTAAAAAAATAACGTCTATGAACATTTGAATTAGTCTGACACGGCGCCTTTGAATGTTAACATCAACAGAGAACCCCTGGAGAAGTCAATACCAGGTAAACCTCATTATTGACTTGCTCAATCACTCACGATTGTTCGAGGAACAAAAATCGATTACCTTGCCATAAAGTTGAGTGAGCTAACAACTTGATTTATGTCGCTGCTGAGATGGCTATTTTGATTGTCATTGTATGGAGTCCAAAATTGGCCGCTTTCGATGTAAATTTGTGAAACGATATTACAAATTATCTTAAACTGTATTTTATAGTCAGAGATGCTTATGTGGTTTTGTAAAATATAGCGTGAAGGTTTGATAAATTAATCCCTTAACATTGCATTGCAACATATTAATAAACACACCCGTATATGAAGTGCTTTTGAACAACCCTAGTTGAAATGTACGATTTTTATACGCATGAACGTTAATAGTTTGACTAATTAACTAATTTTTATACCTATTTATTTATCTTCCTGTCTTTGTTGACTTCAATTCATTCATCCATTGTGATTTGTGATAAATATTTTTCTGAAAATTCCGCTGATTACAGAAACGCATGATAGCTTGTTACTGTATCTGTCCGTTGCCAACATTGCACAATTAAATATCTACTCACATTAAAACCAATCTAGTTATGTCTCTTTCTATATGGTGGCACGAGATAAATATAATTGAAATGTGGCGGTAATTCCCCCATATCATAAAACCATATCAAATTTTGCTCGAAAGTTACTTCACGAAAGGCAAAAAGGACTACCTTCAGGCCCGTAGCCAGCAATTTCAAAAGGGGGGTTCTTTTTCTGAAAAAGTGGACCTTTTTCAATAAAAACTTAATGAACCTAGATCTTATTTTACCCAGAGTGGACCTTTTCCCACCAAAAGGGGCGGTTCTTTAGAACTCCCCGAACCCTACGGGCCTGACCTTACGGGCCTGACCTTACTCCCAGATAAGGTTGTTGCTAACAGCTTCTGCTTTCATTCATCCATTCAGAACAAGGAGCCGTAAGTACATTAATGGCAGATGTCCCTGGAGGATATCGCTTGTTACTTTTCATGGCCAAATCACGGAAAAGACGTCACTTGGGATTAAGTGGATCATCACTAAGTGATAAAGTCACGCAGCGTTCGCTTAAACATTGACAGAGTTGCACAGTGTGAAACAAGAATGCCCTTTAATAATGTTTCAGACTTCATACATTATTTTCTTTGTCATTTTTTTATCATTCTGTCTTTCTTTCATTCTTTCTCGCTTCGTTTCTTTCTTTTCTCTTTTTTGAGTGACTGATGATCGGAATACTACCATTGTTAACCTAATGCTTTACAAGATACTGTCGTAGGAAGAAAGTAAAACAAATGATGGCGTTGAGTAAATTTTGCACCGTGCAGAACGAAATGTAAATGTAATATGTTTCTTACGATATCGAATGGAATATCAATATCGTAGTTTACCAATTGCCCTGCCCAAGGAAAGCCTCAAAACGGAAATTAAAAAAAGCTTTGGGGACAATTTTATCTACACTGAGTCATCGTTTTAAATTAAAACCACATACTTTTATAAAGCAGTTATCACAAAAAAATCTAACAGTCAAAAGTGATAAAAATCGCCCAGCCTGACGGTTTTTGTGGTTGGGAATCGCCCTTGATTGAATAGGGAGCACACGTGATTTCACTGCATTTCATTAAATACTACCTCAATGTAATATAAACACACCTTTGTCTCTTGTTCGTTATTGTTGATCTTGTTTCTAAGAACAAACTTTGCATCGCTTCCGATGAGATGAAATCAAAGGAACGTAAAATGTGTTTTAGTTTAGATATTTCATGATGAATATGCTGCAACCATGCAGTTAACAAAAAACGAAAAACATACGCAATTGTGTCTGAATACAGATATTGATAAAATGATAAAAGGAAATCGAATATTTTCTTTCGTTGAATTTGGAATAGGACGTTGAGTAACACAATTGTTTTGAATAGGACCGTGATCCCTGAGAAAAGTCATATATTTTACATGACACGGTGACGTTTTTTTTTTCAAAAATCACAAATACGAAAGAACTTTAGACCCAAAATTAATTTGAACTCTAAATATTAAAGTCATTTTGCGAAGCTGGGAGCTAAACATGTGACTTGGGAAGGAAGAGTCTAAAAGTAAACAATGTGGATTTAAAAAGCGGATTTTGAGGATCTTTTGCTGTGGGTTGTACGATTTGAAGATTGGAGTTGAAAAACAACTGACGTCATTTTATGATAACGTCCCGTCAAGAGGCTAATAACATCTCCATGGTAACGGTCAGCTAGAAGGTCATTTGAAACGGAAACATTACTGGACAGGAAAACCAACACCCATTAGTGGACCGTGCTTTAAATGGGAATCGCTGAATAAGACAAAGATATCTCACTCTTTGGTTCGATGCCCATGACTTCACATTATAAAGTCAATTAAGGATGGCAAAGGTTGGGGTTCCCAAAGACTGCTGTTTCTAGTAAACAGCAACTTAGTGCGTGTGGAGTTCATGGCCGGTTTCTGCAATGAGTCAGAAACTTAGGATTTCTTCTCGTCTCTTAGTCTATGACAAAACTTATGAAAATATTGAAAAGATGCATAGCTAGATGCAAATGCTGTTTTTTTTTTAACCGATGTTGCAATGCACTCTCAAGTAGATTTCTTTATACTTTTGAACATTTTTCTTGGATGCATGTAGTTGGTATGGTGTTGAAAATACAGCCCATCTTAGACATGGCTCTCGATTGGGATTTTTTTAATATGGCAACTTAGGTACGATTTCCCGAAAACACTGCAACAGACTTATCTGAGGATTCTATTTCAATATAGACTTATCTGAGAATTCTAATCTATCTATCTATCTAATGATAATAGAAATGATAAAGGAAACGTGTTAATTCCTTTCTATTAGTACCTATCATCATTATTATTATTATTATTATTTTTATTATTACTATTATTATTATTATTATTATTATTATTATTATTATTATTATTATTATTTTATCTTTAAGGGTGGAAAGACCAGAAGAAAGGGAAGACAAATGAACTGCTCTAAAACAACAGCTTACGAATACAGATTTTAGTTATAATTTAGATACAATATAGCAAAGAGATCAGGTATGAAACCCAGTATAATTTCATAAGCTTCACCTTTAACCTTTAGTCTGTTTGCTCAAGCGACGGGCAGTATATAGGGTGCTTTCAAAACAAGTTGATCCGCGGACTAGTTAGTTCTAAGATCAAATGTTGTGAACGCGACCTATACTCAAAACTGGGCTTAATCGCATTTCAATGCAATTCAGCTGTTCAGAATCAAGGGTCTCAATGTCTAGGGGATACAGTCAATAACACAGGATATATTTATACCAACTTTTGTCTTTGTCTTATAGTACATGTAACATGCCTCAATATACAAAGTAGGATTCTCTATAGACCATAAATCCTTCTATCCCGTTTTCTTTAACTAACTTTTTAAGGTCTGTGTTAATTTTAAACTTGATTAGATCTTAATGTGAATCTTAAATTTCTTAAATTTTATTCGAATTCATTCATCTGTACAAATTAATCTGTTGGTTGCAAAGGTTAAAAATAAACCTGCTATTATCATGTATTACAACATTATAGATATCTTCTAGATTATACATGTATAATTAGAAGTGTGCCTGTTGAAGTGGAACGCTCACACATAGCCAAAGGACGGCTATTTCGTAAAAATAAATAATAAGAGAAATTAAGTCACAACTTAACAAGCAATTGTTGCATGTACATATGATATGTATTGGCATTCTGAATGTGATACTGTGTACAGTATATCACTTCTTGGAAATAACCTGAAGAGCACTTACTGTTTGGCGGCCGATTTTGCCTTCCTTCTTTTTCCCGCCGACTTGATCTTGTTCATCCGAAACGCGTTGAGCATAACCGACATCTTGGATCTTTGGTCAGACGAAACACTGGACGCTGTAATCTGATTCGGAGACACTTAAGTAACCAGAAATAGGAACGCTACCTCTGAGATCGCAAGATATTGAACTCGTAGGCTCAGATTGATTCAAAGATGCAGACAGAATGTAGTCAGCAGTATTATATCTGTATAAGAATTCTTAACGAAGTTGTCGCTCGGTCGTGTAGCTCAACGTAGTCAGAATGGTCACCCGGGCTTCAAGAGTTCACGAAAAAAGCCTGTTTCTAGGCGTGCGCAGCCTACCCGCTTGTCACTCGTCCAGCGATCTACCTGTGTAGTAACAGCGCTCCTAAACGCAGTTTTCAATCGATTTCCCAGCTTCAGCGTCTGAAACCGTCTTCGATTTTCACCTTCCCGTTCGTTGGATATATTACAGCGCGAGGAAAAATCGATACTCTGCACAATGGTTTGCGGCCTGCGGCTTGCCAGTATGCATTAGCCGCGCATCGACCAGGTGGCGGCACAAACGTTCACAAAAGAGGTTATTAAAAATGGATGAGAAACTTGTTGTTGACTGATGGAGGTTTTGACTGATTTCCGAGAATATCTATCATGTCCCGAGTCTAGAAGGAGAGCTTCGCTCAACCTCATCGCCGCTTTTCCTTGTGCAACTTAATTGTTGAGACCATCTAGACTGGTGACGTTCACACGAATTAAATTAAAGTGCTCATGTCGCTGAAAAATAGGATGTGAATCATCATCGGTTGACTCGTTTGAACGTGACCGGATATCATGTACTATAGGCGTGGTGGGGGCGGGGGGGAGGGGGCGCTAAGCACAGTTTTCAACAACGGCAGTCCTAAGTGCAGAGTGATTCAGGACCCCTTTCCATTTCCCTAAGCTAAATGGATACTTCATTCAGTCATTTAAATTATTATACCGCGGGCTGAGACTGTTGTCAAACTTCAAGTAACTTAACCTATGATCTCTCCCTGGTCGCTAGTTTGTTATATTTTTTCTTGATAGTCTGTCGGCTTAAATTTGCTTTAAACCATGGAGTAAATATTTCACACACGATAATATTTAGATCGGCGTTATTTAGGGGCAGGGTCTTTCTAAATGCCAAACTATTAAAAACGTGCCGCCGGTTAAATTACAATCACACCGATCATTGCTTTTCCCTCCTGGGTCATATATAATTAAATATCAAATAATAATATGTTCATTCGTGGCTTTTTTATCGAAGTTGTTAAAAGCCCCTTCTAGTAAAAGACACCAATAAGGTGAATAAATCTAGCCAAATCAACTGAGAGGCATAGGAGATTGTTTAATCTACCCCCCTCAAAAATTAAACACGTATATATAAACAAACATGAATGGAGAGATCGGCTAAAATTACATAATAATAATAATAATAATAATAATAATAATAATAATAATAATAATAATAACTTATTTCACGCTGAAGCCCGTAACCACTATCAATGCCAAACAAAAAGCGCAAGGAAAATTGTATCCAATTTTTAGGCACGGTGCACGAAGCAAATAAATTCTAGGTTTACGGAAGTTGTAGCTTAAATACAAGTATTGCTGCATCCAAGGGAATTGAACGGAAACCCATTGAATGGTACGCGAAAGTTATGTCCTTTTTGTAGGTAAAGACAAGAAGCACAATTACAATTACATATCCTGGCTTTCTTCTTCCCAGGTGCGATGGGCCAATAAAACATAGCACCTGTGCTTATAGCTATCGAATGACCCGAATTTAGTGGTATTTGGATAATGGTATTTTGTTATTCTGATACACACCTAAAATGGAGCAATCAATAGTTCCGTTGTATCATTTTGAGTTAACGTGTCGTGTTTTAAAAATACACGAAAGAAAACGAAATTTCAAGATTCAGCTATCACTTATGAAGCTTCCTTTTAAATCCCTTGAAACCAAAGCGCACGTGTGTGCCTCTGCGTTGGTCTCCAAAATTGTGACAGGTGTCCGGTGTCAGGCACGTCTCAACTAGCAGAATCAGGATACAAAAAAGGGGCGGGTCCATGATTATTTGAAGGGGGGGGGCGCTGATGCGAAGCCATCCCCCCCCCCCCTTGTATTGGAAGTTCGGTATTTTAGAGAGCGAACGGTGTCATTTGGTACGTTTTACTACTATGATTCAGCTGGGCAAAATTCTAATTTCAAGAGGCGACCACTGGTGTGTTTTTTTTTCAGAAATCGATGGGAGGTCAGAGCCCCCTGACAACCCCCCCTAAATCCGCCACTGCACAATTTGTTGACGCTAGGATCGAGATACACCACCTAGGTTCCGGATCTTGCACAGGGGTGGGGTGTGGGGTGGGGGTAGGGGGGGATGGCTAATATGGCAAAGTGGACGAGGATAATTTGAGCATAGTATGTTTAAGGATCAGGAATTTAATTTTTGCTTACTTTTGCCTTGTTTCGATTGTCATTTTAGTTTTAGAGAGAAAGAGAGGGGAACTTCTGTTGTTAAGTGTGTCTGTGTTAAGTATGAGTGTGGGAGTAGCTTTAAGAACCTCAGGGGATCTAAGATGTAAATAACAAATGGTAAATTGGAAAAAATCTATTTTTGTGTATGGATAGAATTTCTTTTTAACCCATTTGCTATATTATCCGATGGTTTTGTATGTTTTTTTTCCAAACGCACCTTGGAGTACATGTAAGTGCCGTGTTGACTGGAGAAAAGGCTGGGATAGCCCCCCCCCCCCCCCCCCACACACACACACGCACCCACCCCACACACACACACACACACACACACACACACACACACACACACACACACGAACTTTTTTCAACGAAGTCAGGCCTAAGGACAGGGAAGGCACTTTTTAAACCAAATGTAAAATTAAATGAATCATAAAAGCCCAGTCAATTTTAACCTTAACTTGAAGTACACGTGATTTTACAGCTCTCATCTCCGTCGCAACACATGCAGCTCACATTTACAAACTTGACTCACGCTTCATGTTGTATGTAAAATGTACATATCAAAGAAAAAAGTGATTTTTAAAACTTATACATTTTTATTATATGAGTTATATTACATTAACGCCATTTATATTTTTGCACATTCAAATTATAATAGTAATAATATTTGACGTCACACAAGTACAAGTCTTATAAAAAGATGACGCCTTCTACATTAAAACAGACATTTAGAACCAAAAAGACACACAAAAAAGACGTTCCCAACAGCCTTTTAATAAATAATCTACATATAATACATTGATAATATGTCCTGAATTACAGATTTACAGATTTAAAAAAATTATACACTACGAATACAAAATCATTATTTAAGATACAGAAAAGTTTGAAGCAAAAGAAAAGATTGAAGTTTGAATTATCTAATACGTTTATACGCCGGCAGATCGAGGACAGAAAAAAGGGTGCACAGTACTGTCCCACCCACCCTCTCCCTCAAGGTATATATATGGCCACATTGTGTGTACTGATATTACTGAATTCTACCATCTGATTAGGAAAATATGACTTAAAAGTATAAAAGAACCCATGAAACCAAATTGTTGGAGAAGGATGTCAAGTTTGCTTTTGGCTTCGTGATGTTATATTGTTGTGGCCTTCAAATAACGACGCTTCACTTTAACTTAGTATAATATATGAATAAATTCCACCTTCTGCCAGCAGAAGATTACATTAATAAATGCTACAATTTTTTTTTCATCTTTTGAAACAAAATTATATTCAGTGTTGGAAAACGGTACAATAAGGTGACACGACTGACGTCCTAGCACCGTATTAAGAAGGAATGGCGGTGATTTACTTAGCGAACTCATTAGAATGATGTTGTTATGATTCGACGAATGTGATTGGCCTATGCTGCTCCCAGCTGAAATGATGATTTGTTGAATTGTCACTTGCTGGTTTATAATTGGTCAATCCTGCCAATGAGATGGACCTTAGCTGCCTTGCGTTGAAGAACGCGATTGGTATGATGCTGATGGATATCAATTCATATATGTCTGTCGTCATGCTCTGATATTGATTATACTAATCACCATAGCAGATGGAGTTTATCATGAGATCAGGGGCATTTACCAGTCACATGATTTTGACTTGACGAACAATTCTTTTGGTCTCGCGATAGGTTCCTCACTCACGTGACTAATCACGCGATCCTTTGGCTCCTCAATGCGCCTGCGTAGAAATGACAACGTCACCTTTCCCAGCTCTTCCTAGAGATTACGGGAGATCGAGTTATTTGCTTGTGCTCGGACAATGCTTTTCAGAAATAATAACCTAGACTGTGTGTAGGAATTCGCAATTACACTACGTGCAAGGTAGACATTTGCAGCTCTTGATTTGTCTGTAGTTGATTCGGAATGTACCGAGTTCCAACACTTTGGTTTCGTAGTTGGCTACAGTACAACAGCACCCACGTTCGGATTCCATAAAACCGGATTCGTCCCCGCTGATGCTAACGGATGGTCTGAAAAGAAATATAAAAACGATTTGAGTTTTACAGTGGACACAATATCGATATTTGACAATGAAAATCAATAAAATGGCCTTATTTAACCATAGAGAATATTGTATTTTGAATTTTATGCATTTGTAATGATTTTATTGAAGCTATATACCTGGAATAAATGTCACGGCATTATGGATTGCCGTCAACAATTTGGCAGAAGAAACAAACTGTTTAAATAATTTCTTGAAAGGCCCTTACATAGTTCATCAATTCATTTCATTAACCAAAAGTATGTAATGATTGNGCAGCGTTAAGGTTTTCATCCAAAGGAGGCATTGGGCAAATACCGTTGCTGCAAATGGCACCCCAAACATGTACAGAACCACCTCCTCCAGCTATTGTTTCCTGAATATTTTCAGTTAATAGCCTCTCCCCAGGGTGCCTACGCACTCTCATAGCTGGAGGAGGTGGTTCTGTACATGTTTGGGGTGCCATTTCCAGCAACGGTATTTGCCCATTGCTTCCTCTGGACGAAAACCTTAACGCTGCCAGATACAGAGACATTCTCCAGCAGAACCTGGAGCCGTTCGGAAGAGGGATATACAGAGACAATTTTAGATTGCAACATGACAACCCAACTCCCCACACAGCCTGCTTAATTGCAGTCTATATCCGACAAAACAACATTCAGCTGATGCCACAGCCAGCAAGAAGCCCAGATACAAACCCAATTGAGCACATTTGGGACGAACTTGGTTGTGCTATTCAGAGGAGAAACCCTCCCCCTACAAATCTAAATGAACTGCGAGATGCCATTTCAAGATGGATGGACCAGAATCCCTCTCCAAAGCGCTGTAACTCTAGTTCACAGTATGCCACGCCGTCTGGAGGCCATTATCCAAGCTCGGGGTGGGCATACCCGCTATTTAGATTAATAATGAACTCTGAAGATGTTTCTTGTCAATTTCCCCTAATTTCGTATTAATTGTAAATCACAGTATAAATTTATGTTTAATTTTTCACTTGGTACTGTTATGTAAAAAAAGTACTCTTTTGGGGGCATAAGAAAAAAAAACCTAAATAAATTAACGCTTTTTTCACATGTGCATTGTTTGTGTCTCCTTGACTTTACCAATCCTCCAGCTTCACATATTTAACAATATAAGCAGTATTAATTTGATAATATCAATAATAATGAAAGAAACAGGGTGATATGCATCCCAAACTTTCCGTG